GAGGAATAGTATTAGAAGGATTTTGCATGTCTCGGTGACATGGTTTTAAACATGCGCGCTCGCGAATCGTTGCAACAACAGCCTCCACGTCCAGCGTTGCAGTCACCGTGGATCGCGCAGCGTCGGCCCCGCGGCTATGACTCTCAGCGATGGTCAATGGGCAAACGAAAAAGATGAGGCAGCTTGAGAAAGTCGGGTGGTGAGCTAGATAAGTCGGCATGTATGTCTAAGGTAGTAAAAGCTGAGCTAAACGCTTAAGTAAAAAGCCTGACAGTGGGGATGGATAGTTAACATTGCTGCCCCCACCCGCTTTCTTTGAAAAGTGGAAGGGGTCATGGCCGCCTGCCCCCCCCCTCCCAGTTGCTTTGCAGTTCTTCCGAAGTAATTAGCTAGCATACGATGCAAATTTGTCACGAAATTATCTACCTTCCTGAAATTAATAAGCATTACGAACCACGACCGCTTTCGCGACAAACAAGTCCCGCAAAAACATTCTTCACTGAGTCCACATCTCCCAGTCAGCAAGGAACTGAACTGAACTGAACTGAACTCTGAACAAGTTGACTAGAGATGGGCTAAGGCAGGCGCCGACTGTCGTTTCCACCAGGATACCTTTGACTCATCTCATCAGGTCACTCTTTGATGGGTTAGGAGTCAAAGCCGGGGTTCCGCGCTGCGTGAAGATAGGAGTGTCGTGAGCAACTTTACCCGAATTCCAAGACTAATGAATTTGTAGGCCGAATTCTCACTTGCGAGTTGCGTGGACATCATTTTTGGTGGAAATCGCAGGACGCATAATCATCTGCAAAATGTAATCTGCATGAATGACGAGGCGACCTTCCCACTATTGCTGTTCCTTTCATCTAGCCTCAGCAGTGGCAAGCCTACAGCAGTTCGAGTAGTAGGGAATAATAAGGTATGGAGCAGCCCATTACTGTGATAACTGACAGTGAAAAATATGACCAGCCCTTGGGTTTATAGGTAGCAGCCAATCTTTCACCGATTTAAGTATGGGGTTTAGGAATGTAGGATGCCTGTGCCATGTAATATCCTCCGGTTCATTGCTGGGATTTGGCAAACTTAAGTTCAGGATCAACCATATTGTTTGCTGCTTAGAAATTACGATAACGGGCTCTGCGCTGATTTTGCCAACAAAAAGTTTCATGATGATAATGCTGCGTGCTCTTTATTTTAGCACTCTGAAATGTTAATTTGTCTGGGCACGCTGTGTTTCCTTGAATTATCATTTTCATTTCAGCCTCATGACTCACTAGCACGTTGTTAGAAATGTGATCGATTGAATCACACACATTGATGAAGTATGTGATTCAGCTAATGGCTCATGCCGACAAGTTTCCTAATGTCCCGATCTAGCTCACGGCTCACCCTAAAATGATAAAACTCAAGAGCCGATTCATGATTCAGCTCGAGTCGAACACAAGTTCCAAGGGGCTCCTTACCCGGAGAGAAGCAAAGGTTCTCATTATTGCTGAATAGCGTGGGTCGAAATGAGTTCAAAAGTGAACAAAGTCATCCCATATTTGCCTTAGAACGTTCATTCTTTTGCAAAATAGCCTGTTTGAGCCTGCGCGCTTGCAATCTCAGGAGGGAGGATGGGATGGCCGGGGTTGCAGTTTCCGTAAAACCGAACGGCGTTGGTCACTACAAGTACGGGCTACTTGCAGTGACCAGCGCCGTGAGCAGGCGCCCTATTGGCTACTCGCAGTGACCAGCGCCGTGAGCAGGCGCCCTGTTGGCTACTCGCAGTAACCATGCGGCCTATTGGCTACTTGCAGGAACCATGCGGCCGGCGCCGCAAGCGTGACATCAACCACCATAAAATCATGGTTCCGATTGTCTCTCATAATTGGTTTGCACTGTTCGAAAATTAGACTGGGCGTATCTTTTGACAACTTTGAGGTTGTCCTCTGGACAGATTAACAACAACTAAAAATGACGATTCTACCTTTGTTCTTCTAGTTCCACCACCAGATTTCAGCTCCATTTCGTGTTGCTGTTCAAGCCAATCCGTTCTTATCACCAATCCAGAAATCGAGCCGGCGAAATGTACGCCTGGGCTACCTTCCAAATATACAGTCACACACTCGTTAGCCACAGTTCAGCGTTAGTCACGGAACCGGCGACGCGTGGCCGGGGGAGACTGCGACGCCCAGCATCGAGGTTTTGTTGCCTGAAAATTGCGGGAGCGTATGCTCAAAACTACATTACAAAATTTCCATCACTTACCCATTCCGAGTGAACATTGCTTATTTTCAGACAAACGTTTTCCTACGTGATACAAATTGTTGACCTATTTTGATCTACAATCTGAATTCGCTCGTCCTGAATGTCTCTAGAATCCAGGTCAAAATTCTGGCACGGGGTCTGCGTTATATCAGTTTAAAACGAGTAAGCTGGACCATTGTAAAATGAAGAGTGCCGGCGATTTGTTTCAAACAGTCGTTTAACGCATGATTTTGCAGATAGTGTTCTGTCCCAGTTAGAAAGAGTAAAAATGATAAACAACAAAAAAACATACCCTCATTTACAATTGGGTCATATCCGGTGATTTTGTAGGGAAACGGAGAGGGAGAGGGGGACGGAAAGGGAGGAAGAGAGGGAGAGAGAGAGAGAGAGAGAGAGAGAGAGAGAGAGAGAGAGAGAGAGAGAGAGAGAGAGAGAGAGAGAGAGAGAGAGAGAGAGAGAGAGAGAGAGAGAGAGAGAGAGAGAGAGAGAGAGAGAGAGAGAGAGAGAGAGAGAAAGAGAGAGAGAGAGAGAGAGAAAGAGAGAGAGGGTAGATTGCGCCCCGTGCAGCGATAAGCTGATCCCATTGCTGCCGCCAGGCTTGGACCGCTCGCTGAAAGGCCCCCTTTTTAAGCGTGCCAAGCACCACTCGCGATCCGGCTACATCTCCTCCACGGCGACGAAACAGCAACGCTGCGGCTGAAGCCTCATCTTTGGGGAGCGGGACAACTCACAGCGGACCAATTCCTTAATTAGGGGCATCAAGGACGACGATGATGTTGGTACGGCCCAAAATTCGAGTGTTGTAACGCAGTGTGCAGGGGTGTCGTCATGTTAGATCACTTGGCGACCAACGCGCTTCCTGAGAGGAGCGGGGCAGGAGCGCGACAGTGCACACTTGCCGCTTATTTTCGACACTCGCAAGATGCGCCCCACGAATTCGTCCTTGGACGAGACTGACGGTGCCGAGCTTTAGTGCACCGTTCTGAGGTGTTGAATGGACAACAGTCTGCCCAAACGACCGGATATGTGGCGCAGTGGCAGCTGGGGGCCCTAGGTTGACAACGCGCCCGTTCGTATTGCGTTGCAAACGTGAGTTTGGGCCGCGCTAGCGTCATCATTGTTTCCTACCCGGCAACGGCGATTGGTTTCCAGCGATTCCTTCCTCTTCCCAAGGTGCAGTTTAAGCAGCAGGATCACCCTTCGAGATACAGCGTGAGGCGCAAGTGGTGCTTGACAAGCGCCAATAACGGAGCTCACAGGGGCCATTTCAAGCATGGCAGAAGCGCGGAGTGCGGTGTAGCGCTGCACCACGAGCATTTTGATCGCACCTCGTATAAACAGTCCCTTCTATGAATGGTAACTGTTACTCGAACTGCCGACCCCACTCCCGTTCGACACCAGCTGCGCATGTGGGTGGCTCGGCTCGTTTTGTCCGAGCACGCGCCATGACCACCAGCCGTGTCGCAGGCTGGAGCAGCGCTGCCGAACTGGTGCTGCATCAGTCCCACAAAGCGCTCGACGACGGAGGGATGGTGACGTCAGCGACCGCAGGGTTCGCACGCGCCACATCACATCGACGGGAGGAGGGCGGGGGTGACGAAGAGGGGGATGGTGACATCAGCGACCGCAGGGTTCCCACGCGCCCCATCATATCGACGGGAGGAGGGCGGGGGTGACGAAGAGGGGGATGGTGACGTCAGCGACCGCAGGGTTCGCACGCGCCACATCACATCGACGGGAGGAGGGCGGGGGTGACGAAGAGGGGGATGGTGACGTCAGCGACCGCAGGGTTCCCACGCGCCCCATCATACCGACGGAGGAGGGCGGGGGTGACGAAGGGGGGATGGTGACGTCAGCGACCGCAGGGTTCCCACGCACCACCTCACATCGACGGGAGGGATGTTGAAGGGGAGGGCGGGGGGAGTCGGCGACCGCAGGGGTCACACGCGCCGCCTCACACCCCACACAGACGTACAACAGCATTGAACAGCCCGGCCCCGGTAACGGTTTTTTCAGTACCAGCTGCCCATTAACACAGCCATTCCAAGCGTAACATAAATGAAACGCTACGAACGGCTGTGCGCAAGCGCGCAGTGTTCCCATTACTGCCCAAGCATCATTGGAGTTCTTCAAACGTCGTACGAAAAGAGCGTGTTGCATGTCGTAACTTTATATATATCATCGAATATACTCGGGGCAGATATAAATATAAAATACAACGGCTGGTACGAGAACATAATAGAGCATAACACGCAACCCGACCTATCCGACTGGATCGCTCACCGTTCGCCGAACACAGACAACAAACCAAGAATTTCAGAAGCGAACCAGAAGCGCCACCATCAGGGACCACGTGACCCGCCAGCAGGCGGCCGGGCCGCCACAGAGCTCGCCCGTCCCTACGCGACCCTCGCCACGTCTCGGACGCCGCCTGTCGTCCCTAATCTCAGCCAGGCTCCGACGTCGGGCACGCCGCCGTCGCAGCGTGGGCGTCCACGTCCACCTGTCTCGGCACGTACACAAACACGCCTTGTGCGCTAGCGGTAAGTCCAATAAATGCCAGTAAGCTGCTGATGCGCCTGTGAGTTGCATGGATAAAAATCACAACGCGGAAGGCAGCGCCGGCCGACGGCGGCGCTGAGTATTGGGAGGCGCGCGTGCGGCGCCACACCGCCGCCCGAGACGGCGCCGGGGGGAGGCGGCGGCGCCAACGGCACAGGCCGCCGCAGCCGCCGCGCTGACCGACGCCGCGCGTTTGAGCTGGGGCTCGACCGGCGCGGCCCGGCGGCGTCACACGTTGATGACGTCATCCAGCGAGTACGCCTGGTCGAGGATCAGGTTTGGCACGGGCGACGGCGACACGCCGTCAGCGATGCTCGGCTCGCTCGGCGGCGGCCCGTCAACTGAGCTCTCCAGCAGACTCTGTAACGGCCGGGCGGCGAGGAGTCAGCGCCGGGCCCGGCGGTGGCGGGGGCACACACAGCGGCCGGTAGCGTAGCCTCGTGCGGCGCTCCTCACAGAGGTCATCGCCACACGAAAACACAGCCCGGTGGTCGCAGATGGACAACCTCCACCATTCTTACCTCGAGTTCTGCCGACGTTAACCGTTTGGGTTGGCGTTGGGCGCTGGGCGCACCGCTCCCATCTAGCGGCCGAGGCACAAAGCGTTAGTCCCGGATCGGTCCGCCCACAAGCTCCGTCTTCATGCGTTAGGTTCGGTGCTATCGGGCAGCTACATACAACGGCCGACAGGGGGCCAACAAATAAGCGGATAGATACATCAACGCAAACAAACAAAACAAGGACTGACCACGACCCTGCACGGATGTATGCTTACCGGCAGTGCAGCATCCGCACCTTCATCCCCGCGAAATGTGTCCTACCCGCTGTAAAGCGCAACACATCCCAAAAATACAGCAAATAAAAGTTTGATGCAAGCAAACCAAACAAAAAGTAGCGGTTCTGCGCACTATTTAACAAATCGGCAAACTTCGAAAAACACTGACAATCGGAGGAGCTGTAAACGTACATAAATGTACTCGATTTAGAATACTTGGGTCAGCTGTGGCACAGCCCAGTTCAAAATTGTCTGCACTTTGAAATACGTCCATTTCCGGTCAAGACGTTTTCGTCGGTTTGTTCGAGGCATCATGACTTGGACGTTTCGAGAAGGGTGGCCGTGTCCACACGACTCCGGGTCATCAAAGTACAAAGTACAGGGCAAAGTGCATCAAATTCCTTCCGCAACCAGAATGTGCGCGGCAATGCCACTATATACAATACCTATACGCTGAGGCATTCGTCTATGTTCAATTCCCCAAACCACGCCGGTGCCATGTACACACTGTGCGGTGAGGATGTGCCGGTGCCCGTCCGGACACGGACTGCGTGCCGTCGCGTGCGCACGTCACGCCGCCTTGCCTGTTGGCGAGTCGCTAGCGCGGCTCGAGCTGTTAGCTGCGGCGCCGTCTGCCATCTGCCGTCCGGTCCACGAGTCAGAGCTTGGACCGACGTCCGCCGGCGGCGTCTCGTCTCCCGACGTGTTGCCGCCACCTGGTCAAACCCACAACCGCCACGTCACACCGGCGCACTGCCGGAGCTCCGCGTGGGCCAATGCACAAAAACGCAATTCACACTGAGCTCCCCACAGCTCAAGCAAAGCAGCTGCTTATATTCAGGTTGTAAGAAAGCAAGTCCATATGAGAGCTGTTACCGTGGTTATGTGGTGCAACAACTGCACGACCAGCGGGCACATCATCAAGACACAAGTTCGGCGTCTACTGAAATCTGCTGTGACCGAAATCTCCAACTGACATAAGCAGTCCTAAAGATATCCCCTTGTGACTATCAATGCCAGCGGTACACTAACAGAATGCCTGACGCCGCGCGCTACCGACATACCACAAACGTAAACAGGGAACAAAGTCATGCTCACACATCCCACTCTCCAGTACAAACCCGCTCTGTAACCAGAGAAACCAACCAGGAGTCGGGCAGTCGCTCACAGAATTTTCGGCAAACCAAAAACAACACAGACGGCTGGCTGAGGCGGCCTTCAAGCGCGGCACCGCGCTTACGTCCGCGGTCGCTTCCCTTCAAACCCCGTGGCCATCTGAGACCCGCGCTGCAGGTCAGACGGACTTCCTTCCGTGACGGTGGACAAGCAGCCAGAGACAACAGCAAGTCAGCTCCCAACGCATGCTCCGTGGTGTCAACACGCCAGCCAGCACTGGCGTGCTGACAGCACAATGCCAGCACAACACGCAACGCGTTACGCATTAATATAAGGACTCGTGCAACCGCCAGCGGGTGGCGTCCCATTCGAGGTGCAACAGGGCAGATATATCCCTCCTTTTCGAGATACTTCACCTAATTTCGCAATTTTAAACTAGGGTAACCCTGCATAATAGCTTTACCCTTTCTTCCATTTTCTGAACCCGAGCACCCGGCCTGGCACCGGGCGGATCTCGTGCCTGGTGCTGGCAGCGCCAGTGGGCCGCACCGCGCCGTCCGCGGCGCTCGCCACCCGACCACGCCTGCCGCCGGAGCCACTCACCGGAGCAGCGGGTCTCAGTGCGGCCGGCCATGGACTTGGGCCGCGGCTTCGGCCCTAGCGGCGGCGGCTTGGCCAGGCCCGGCACGGGGGACGCCTGCTTAGGCTTACTGGCCAGGCTGGGTTTGGGACCTAGAACAGGCGCGCGGCGCGGTCACAGGCGCGGCTGGTGCCCGGCCAACCCCTCACACACGCGCGCGCACACACGCGGGAGACGAAGCGCACGGCGCGGCCAGCGGGCGACGCGGCGGCCGGCCGGCGGCCAGGCCCCGCACCGGGGACACGGGAGCCGCCGGCCCACACGGCCGGCGGCGAGGCGAGGCGAAAGCGAAGCATGCTCGGGCGCCGAGCTGTAGTCACCGGGCGCTGGGCGTTAGGCGGCGTCACAGAGCCGGGCCGCGCAGCCGGCACTCACTGATCGACGGCGGCCCGTGGTGGCCGGCCGACGGCGACTTGAGCGCGGCGGCCAGGGCGGCGCTGCGACCCTTCACCTCCTGGAGCGGCGAGCGCTCCTCCAGCTCCTCGGGCGTCTGCGGCGGCGGACGGCCGTCAGTCGTCCCGCACGGCACAGCGGCAACAGTCGTCACTGAGGGCGGCGCCTGCCACTCCTACTCGCCACCACGCGCAGCTCTTGGCCATGCTCGACGCCAAACTTATTAAACCCGACTTCGGCGGCGCGCGTGTGATATGCATGCACGTGCCATAATACAACCGGACCGTTTATCAGGATCCCCTTTCCCAAGCCTTGAGCGCCCCCCCCCCCCTCCCCCTCCCTCCCCCACTCACGTGTTTGGGCGTCAGACTGGCGCGCTTCTCCTGTTTGGCGCGCATTTCCGCCAGCAGGTCGGTGCCGGCGAGGCCGGCCGGGCGGCGCAGTGCCGGCTCGGCGCCCTCCTCAGCCGGCGGCACCACCGGAGGCGACAGCAGGTGGTTCAGAAAGCTGTCCGCACTCCCTGCGTCGCGCAGACGGGCGCCGGTCAGTACAGCCGGCCACGCACAGAGCGGCTTCCGTCTCGACGCCAACCAGAGAATACAGAGCCACTCACATGAGTGAACCGCCGCGCGTCGCGGCAGAACGGCCACAGCACCAGCCGCCCGACTATTCAGAGCGGGTATCGTTACACCATGCGGCCGGGAGCGGCCGAGCAGGCGAGAGCGAGGAGTGGATCGGCCCCGGGGGGACGCCACCGGCAGCGGCCGTACGACACCACCATGCGAACTGCCGTCCAGTCACTCGAGCAGCTCCGATGAAAACGAGCGCGACGGGCGATGTCCAGCCATGCGTACCACAAGCGATGTCTATGCCGCCACCAATCAGCACGGTGATTTTCGTTACACAATTGTGACCAGCCAGCCCAGCTGTTCGGTAACTGACACCGGAAGCACCTAAACGGGGCGACCTTTGACGCGACAGCGACGTCCACACGGCCAGAGTGGCCGACGACGGCCTCTCACCGGAGCCGGCCGACGAGTCGCTGTCGGCCGTGTCGGCCGGCTTCCTGGGCTTGGCCGGCTCGCCGCCGTCGCGGTCCTCCCGGCTGCGGGCCACACGATCCGCCGCCAGCTTGCTGAACACTGACGAGATGCCCTTCTTGACACCGCCGCTGCTGAGGACAGGCCGACGCCACCGGTCAGTCAGACACTGCTCGTCTGTGGAATCACGGCAAGGACGGTGGCCAACCGCTCCCAAAACTAGGCCAACATGCGTATAGAACCAAACAGTTGGACCGGCGCGCCGTGAAAAAGCTAGAGCTTTTTGAGACAATCCAAGTCCCGCTATAACATAAGCAAATCAGCAACGCTGTTCAAACATGGGGCAGCGAACTGCGGCAGGGCGCCCCCGAGACGGTAGAACGAAACGGGCCCATTCCGGCCTAAGTACGAGCCCCGGTATGTTCCAAGTGAGACAGAGTGGCGGCCATGGCGTCACCCTCTTCTTCTCGCGGGTGGGCGTCGTCATCGCGGTGGGCGGGCGTGCGCCCGCGCGCGCCCAGCCCAGGTGGGGTGTGGTTGGTCGGCAGACGTGGTCATCAGCTGGTCTGTGGTCAGGTCGCCGGCGGCGCACGTCAGACAACCTAGCCGCACACAGGAGAACAGAGAGAGAGAGGGTCTCGAGACAGAGACGAGACAGAGACAGGAGAGAGAGGACAGGACAGAGACAGAGGAGAACAGAGAACAGAGACAGAGACAGAGAACAGAGAAAGAGACAGAGACAGAGACAGAGACAGAGACAGAGAGACAGAGACAGACAGAGCAGAGACAGAGACAGAGGACAGAGACAGAGACAGAGACAGAGGACAGAGACAGAGACAGAGACAGAGAACAGAGACAGAGACAGAGGACAGAGACAGAGACAGAGACAGAGACAGAGACAGAAGACAGAGACAGAGACAGAGACAGAGACATAGACAGAGAGACAGAGACAGAGACAGAGACAGAGACAGAGACAGAGACAGAGAACAAGACAGGACAAGAAGACATGAGACAGAGACAGAGACAGAAGACAGAGACAGAGACAGAGACAGAGACAGAGACAGAGACAGAGACAGAGACCGAGAGACAGAGACAGAGAGAGAGAGAGAGGAGAGAGAGAGAGAGAGAGAGTATAGAGAGAGAGAGAGAGAGAAGAGAGGAGAGAGAGAGAAGAGAGAGAGAGAGGGAGAGAGAGAGAGAGAGAGAGAGAGAGAGAGAGAGAGAGAGAGAGAGAGAGAGAGAGAGAGAGAGAGAGAGAGAGAGAGAGAGAGAGAGAGAGAGGAGAGAGAGAGAGAGAGAGAGAGAGAGAGAGAGAGAGGAGAGAGAGAGAGAGAGAGAGAGAGAGAGAGAGAGAGAGATAGAGAGAGGAGAGAGAGAGAGAGCACCAGCAGATCAGGCAGATAGCGTGTGCAGCCCGACAACACAAGCACCGCAAACACTATGCGCTGACCGCAAAGCTAAACATAACAGCGAAACGAACACGGGTTTATTTTGCTGCCTCTGGCATTTTGCTCCACTCCACTCCCCGGACCCGTCCGCCGGCCGTCACGCACCGCACCCCGACTGCCAACGATCACACACCAGGAGCCGGGGTGGGGAGCGCCACCAGCGGCGACACGGACTCCAGGCCGTTACTGACCGGGACTCGGAGTCCGGCGAGGTGAGCGGGCTGCTGGGCAGCGAGCGCGCCGGCGGGAAGAACACGTCCAGGCCGGTGTCGACGTCGGCGCCCTCCTCGCCGACCACGGGCCGCGTGGGCGCGCGGCTCTTGGCGCGCCGCGGACGCGCCTTGCCCAGATGACGCAGCTGGTACGCCGAGGCCGGCAGCTCGGCCACCGTGTCGACCTCTGGCGGCGCGGCGCGCACGCACCGGTCAGATCCAGCGGCTCACAGAGCCCTGTTGCAGCCAACGCTCGGACGCAATGGGCATGAAGGTGCGCGCCGGCACGCTTTCGAAACGAGCGTAAACGTAGCAAACGCCTGAGACATGGGCGCGTCCCAAGAATGAGCTTGGCATGGTGTTTCTACTGAGTTTGTGATTGCCGCTTGGGTTGATGGAAGCATGGGCTTAAATCTGACTAACAGGATGTGCGAAACCAGTCCCAGTGTGCGGTATAATCAGTTGATGGTAGTTGCATTAACTTTTTTACTGCACGTCATACACTATCTATCCATGAAAAACTTCGTAAAAGGGTCTTGTGACAACTGACCTCCAAGAATCTTCATTCAGATTTGGCGGAAAGTAACTAATCCAATTTTCATAGGCTTCGAATAGGAATCAGTGCCAATCGCAATCAATGTCAATTGTGCTGCAAAGCTTTGAACACAAAAACAATGAATTCACGTGAAATAACCAAAACATACAGACTAATCATTCGCTTCCACGGTCTAGCTCAACAAGTCAAAGCTAAAAAAAAAACGTTCAAGATAACGAGCCAAGACCGTATAACTGCGTACAACGAGGCTAAAAACGCTAACAGCCGACACATGATGCTCATTGATTTGTTTGCAGCTGGCGTACCAGGCGCGTGCAGTGTCTTGGACGCATCTCTTGCTGTGAATGGCCATTAAGCGCGGGTCACACACGGGGACGACTGGGAACAACCTTCACAACAGCCAAACCAATATTAACAGGCTGCAGAATGCACACATGCACGCGCAGGTGAAGGCACAGTGCAAAAAGAGGCAACACAAACTGAAACAGACCTTGCCTTTCTGTGAACATTCCTCGACTCCAGGTGTAACATGTGATTCACCGCATCAACTTGCACAGATTTCCCTGCCCGTTTAGCCGTGTTTCGTTTCCTGAAGATGTGTCTGCCTTCCCACACGCGCACAGGATCTTCATCAGGCGCAGAGACCCGGCCACCTGGTTGGAGTAGCGACTCTTTTCCCTCTAACCAGCACACCTCCTTCAGAGGAGCACCGACCTTAAGTCCGTAGCCTGCCTCGCTAAATCTCCAATTCGTGCCTAATCAGTCAACCTACCTTCCCAAACGGGGAATGGCTCCCAATCAGTCGGCCTCTCTCTCTCAGCCGGCTCAGGAGCCGCGCAGAGTCCTGGCTTGAGTGCAAAGTCGGCCCACATTCCTCGATGGAGTCACGAGTCGGCCTACACTCCCGGTTTGAGTGTCGAGTCAGCCTACCTTCCTCCGTTGAGTTCAGGCCTCAGGCCCTCTACCGCCGCTGGTGTCCGGAGTTGGCCTATATTCCCGGCCCGAGTCCCCAGCCGGCTTTCCTCCGCCGCTGGTGTCCGGAGTTGGCCTATATTCCCGGCCCGAGTCCCCAGCCGGCTTTCCTCCGCCAGTGGCGTCCGGAGCTGGCCTATATTCCCCGCCCGAGTCCCCAGTCGGCTTTCCTCCGCCAGTGGCGTCCGGAGCTGGCCTATATTCCCCACCCAAGTTCCCAGCCGGCTTTCCTCCGCCAGTGGTGTCCGGAGTTGGCCTATATTCCCCGCCTGAGTCCCCAGTCAGGCTTTCCTCCACCAGTGGTGTCCGGAGCTGGCTTATATTCCCCGCCCGAGTCCCAAGTCTTCCTCCGCCAGTGGTGTCCGGAGCTGGCCTATATTCCCTGCCCGAGTTCCCAGCCGGCTTTCCTCCGCCAGTGGTGTCCGGAGATGCCCTACATTCCCCGCCCGAGTCCCCAGCCGGCTTTCCTCCGCCAGTGGTGTCCGGAGCTGGCCTATATTCCCCGCCCGAGTCCCCAGTCAGCCTTCCTCCGCCGGCAGTGTCCGGAGCTGGCCTACCTTCCTCGGTGGCGTCCAGACTGGGCAGCAGGTCGGGGATGCGCTCGGCAGAGACGCCCTCCACGGAGTCTGCGCCGCACACAGAGTACACTCAGCGGCCGCGTCACGCGCCGCGCCGCGCCGACCAGGCCGGCCGGCGCGCCACGCCAGGCGGCGCGCGCCACCAGCACACGTGCAAACAAAACACGCCTGCCGGCCAGCCCCACACAAAGAAAACCAAACACGACACGTCACTGCAGGTCGGCATGCTGAACCGGAGCATGCGGTAGAAGGGAAGGGGTCCAGAGGCAAGCTCTGGCCAGCGCGGCCAGGTGGCGCTTACTGTACACATCCAGGTTGCAACGGATTGGAAGACCTGGGGAGGAGTCCACGTGCCACTTACTGACGGAGCACGGACACGACGCGTAGTGACAGTGCAGGACAGTGCATTGCAATCGCCACATTAATCAGCGTTGTTTTAAGGACATCTTGTGAGCTGGCTCCCACAGAGCCACAACCTATCGCTGGCGCTCATCTTCACAACCGCGGACATCGCTGCACAGCATGCTGGCATAGGCGGCGAATGTCGTGGGTCAGCCGTTGTTATAGCATTATCATAATCTTCTCGCAACAGATCAGTTCAAGTAACTTTTAGAGTCTATAATCCAGTAACGATGCGGAGAAGCATTATTGCATGGCCTCAATCTCACGATAACCAGCCCAAGTGTCTTCTAAAGTATATAATCCAGGAACGAGACAGAGAAGCGGCACGCGAATGACACGTACCGACAACGGACTTCGGCCGCATCTTCCGGCCCTGAAGGTTTAGCTTCTTGGCATGTAGCTGGGGAGTCGCCTGGAATGTGGTCAGTATTGCGTCAGCACAGGCCGGTAAGTCAACACAGGAAAGGTGTCGCCACTACGATTACATTTCAGATGGTTTCACTTGAAAGCTAAGTGGCTACCCCGGCCATTCTCAATCTGGATGTTATGCTACAAAGTGCCCGTCCACTGTCGTAAGCCGTCCATGTGACGCAATGAGTGCAGGTATCGCAAGAACTTATAAGCTAGTCCTAAAAATGATACCCTGCTACGTTAAAAAATCAAGCAGGCAAGTGAGCTGTGCATAAAAAGAGCAGGTGCGGCCGCCACATGATCTCACCAAATTCAAGTACTCCAGCTTCTGAGCAGCACGCAACAGGAACATTACGTCAACGCAAGGCTTTCATAGATCATGCGCACGATCAGCCATCGCACACCACCATCAGGCATCATTAGACATCGTCGCTCACGGTCAAGTATCACCTTCTCACAGCGCCAGCTCGCACTTAAACAACCGACGCTGAAACATCTACAGCAAAGCCAACTCAGCGCAACAGCTTTTCACCGAGAGCAACCCCAAGCCAGGACCGAGGCTGTCAGCCCCTAGCTCCCAGCCCCCCCCCCCCCCCCCCCCCCCCCCCGACTATTTGGAATGGCGCGGTCTGCATTCCTGGCAGAGCACGCCTGACCCGTTCTTGGCTGGCGGCGCCTCGGTACAACACGAAGGGCCGCGCCAACATTTCGCGTGAGATGCCGCGATGAGGCGGCCGCGGGTGCCGCCGGCATGGCGCGGACAAGGAGTGGACTTCCTGACAGACGTCTGAGTAGCGACAAAAAGCTAATGAAATTCGAGGAGAATTTTATGACAATTTGAACGATAATTTTATTCAATTACGCACAATTTTAGCAATCGCTTCACCTGGTGATTTGTCTACTCATGGCAGCCATTTTCACCTTATACCAACCATTATCCTCCTACCGTCCTACCATTCCTATAGCTTGTATTTTGTTGCATTACAACTTTTCAGCGCGATTAAAGCGCATCGACGCTGCAAGAGTAAGGCGAGGATGGGATATAACAGTGACTGCCCGGATGACCTCCGCAAACGTACCCTAGTACCACGCCGTTATGACCGTGCGCGCACATGGGACAAAACTGCCGCCCAGAGACAGCGTTTGGCCGGCTCAGGGTTAGGGCCGGCCATGGTGAGCTCGTGATTCGCAGTCAGCTCACGTTAGGCCAGCTCCCGGCTGACGGTCCCAGCGCGCGCATATGCTGGCCACATGTTGCGAGCAAGCGGGATGAAGCGGTGTATGTGGATAAGGGCGGGCACATCAATACTACATCAGGCCACGGCCATACCGGTTGGCTAATTCCCCAAACGTCGCTAGGTCTTATAGGTCTCAACGCATCCATCCACAACCATCCACCTTTTGTCAAACTGAGGCTAACGAGGGCTGCACATCTCCACTACCCCCGCCCGGCCGCGCTGCCCACACGGCCGGCGGCGGGCGCGCACTGACCGGCGGCGACGGGTCCGAGCGCTCGCTGCCCACGTCCTCCTTGGAGTGGCTGCTGTCGGCGCCGCCGGCTTCGGCGCCGTCCGGCGGGCGCGGGTGCGACTTCAGCACGTCCGGCGTGCAGGCGCGCTTGCGGCCGGCATCTCCCGTCTGCGGACACGGGGACAGACGCGACCGTCGCAGCGCTTCGCTCTGCCGCACGACCACGCCACGCCCACGACACCCGCCGCAGACTATACCGATAACACGGCGGGTTCATCCCAGGCACACGTGACAGACGATGCCGGAGGGAGGTGAACGGGGCTGTTCGTAATGCCCGGACCTCACGACCCTTCGACAGCCCCCACAGAGGCTCAGCCAAACACTCACCGCCACCCACTAACCCTCGAACCCATTCTAAAAACAGACCACAGCCTTTGTGACAAGGCCCGCAGCCAATCCGAGCGCCCGACTGACCGCCTCCTGCCGCGCCGCCGCCCGCTCACCAGCTCCTGGTAGCTCCTGGTGAGGCTCTCGATGACCTCATCGACGACGCGGTCGCTGACCTGCGCCGCCACGGCCACGTGCAGCTCGTTGACGCGCTCGGCCAGCTCGGAGCCGGCGCGCTGCTGAAGCGCCGAGCGCACCTGGTCGGCCGGCAGCGCCAGCCGCACGCGCTCGGCGCTGGCCGAGCGGATCGCCTGCTGCACGGCCGACAGCAGCACGTGCGGACACTCGGCCTCGGCCGCCTCCAGCATCCGGTCCACGGTCGCCTGGCGAGACGGGCGGGTGGCGCTCAGTCAACGTCCGGTGGGTTCTGGGCGGGTCTTGGTGCTGATACACAGCTACAAAGGCCCCACCCAAACACCCCCACCCCACCCCAGTGCGGCTGACCCACCCCTATGTGTCGGGAAATGACCGAGTGCAGCTGACCCATCCCTATGTGTTGGGCGACGACCGATGCAGCTGACCCATCTTTATTTGTTGGGCAATGACCAAATGCGGCCTACCCACCTCTATGTGTTGGGCGATGACCGAGTGCAGCCGAGCCATTTCTACGTGTTGGGCAATAACCGAGTGTGACCGACCCACCTCTATGTGTTGGGCGATGACCGAGTGCAGCTGCTCGGCCACCTGGCTCAGCTTCAGCTCCACCGGATTGCCGGACGCCTCCCGCTCCATCACGACCGTGTGGAACCGAGCCATGAGCTGGGAACAGACAGGCCAGGTCACCGGCTGGGGACGGACAAGCCGGGTCAGCAGCTGGGGCCGCATCACGACCGCATGGAACCGAGCGATGAGCTGGGGACAGACAAGCCAGGTCACCGGCTGGGGACGAACAGGCCGGGACAGCAGCTGGGGTCGCACAAACGGCCGTCAACGCACAGACAGCCTCAGATGCCGGGGGGAGGGAGCGGGGGATCAGACGCCGACGGGCACACGTCAAGTGCATCAATGCTCGCTGACATCCTGTATTAAGACGAACTGAAATCGGTGCAGCAGACGGGAACACGGATGATGAGGGTAGTCTGAGTCATAGCACGCATTGGAGGTTTGGTATGAAACTGTGGCTAAACCTCCCCCTCACACACACATAAGCGAAAAAAACGCCAAAAAAGGAGCTGCTCTCCAATTAGACTCACTTCCTTCTCAAGGTTGGCGGAGTGGAGCCCTACCCTTCCTACCCCCTCCCCCCCCCCCCCCCCCCCCCCCAACAAACCCACAACCGAATAGAGAATAATCCCTGTACGGCAGCCCCTACCGCAGAGGTGGGCCACAACGGGTAGATTAACGCATGAGAACCTGGGAGCTGTGCAGCACCACCAATCAGCTAACCGCTGAACGGTCATGTGTCGCTCGAGAGCAGGACCAAACACAAATGCCTAACCTGTACGGGGAGAATCACACGCCGCAACGCGCTTCGAGACAGCCAGCGTGATACATCGATGGTTCACGTAGGAACAATTACATCAAGCCAACTGAGCACACCTGGCGCGAGATGTGGCGCATATTGTCCGACACGAAGACAAAACCATCCGCAATCTTGTCTGAGTGAAGATGTTGCAGGTAAACATGTGTGATTAACCGTAACGACAATGCTTGAACAATGGTCTCGCTGCAAGCCAAAGCAGCTCTGCCTAACAAATACTCTGATCACAGGGACACCCGTACCGCATAAACTTCAACGTCATCGCCAGAGATGCACCAGATGATAGGAGTGCACATACAACTCGTCCATCCAACACATACCTTCTCGCAGAACGCGTGTCCACAATGCAGCTTTGGTAAGCGACGCCTCAGCTTCCTCTTTTTCACCTTGCCGTCCTCGCCGCGCTCCACGTCTCGGTGATGCCTCCGAACCTTCTTCCTCACCAGATCGTCACCTTCCGTTCGGCTCTTCTTCAGCTGCGACATGAGCTCGCCCATGCACGACTTGTAGCCGGCGGGCAGTGCGGCGAGCAGCTTCTTCTGGATCGCCAGCGGAGCCTTGCTCTTTTTGGTCGATTCGGCGTCACCTGCCTCGGCTTCACCGGCCGCCGGACACCCGCTAACTTTCACTACCGGACACTTGTCCGTGATCCGTTTCCGAGCGCCACCGCCAGCGACACTTTCTTTCTTAGCTTCGTCGTGCCTGAACCCGTGCCGAGGCGGCCTACCACTGACTTCAGTTTGCTTTGATGGGATCCTCGAATCGCGGTCTTTCTTGACGTCACTGCCCTCCACTGCGCTTTCATCTCGCTCACTGTCTGGTCTTCTATCCTCGTCACTCTCCGAAGGCGTATCGCTGCCGGGTTTGCCGTCGTCACTGTCGGCCTTGTCGTCCTTATCACATTCGTGTCTGACCTTATCACTGTCGGCGTTCGAACCCTCTCCGCTATGCACCTTCTGATCCTTCCCTTTGTCCACCTCCGTATCCTCACCGTCGGTCGAGGAGTCGGGGCTTTCCTTCACGTCGCCGCCACCGGACGAGTCAGCCGCCTTCTCGGTCCCACTCGCGGCGGGCTCGCACCGGTCCGAGTCGTCCTCGGAGTCAGACGACGGCATGACTCGTTGCCGACTCGTTGTCCCGTGCACTGTCTCGCGGGCGGCGGTGGGTCAGAGGGACACGCAGAGCCGACTGCCTCGCAGGCGGCGGTCGGTCAGAGGGCCGCACGGAGCTAACTGCCCGGCAGGCGGCGGTGGGTCAGAGAGCCGCGCGGAGCCGGCTGCCTCGCGGGCGGGGGGTGGGTCAGAGGGCCGCGCGGAGCCGGCTGCCTCGCACGCGGCGGGCGGTCAGAGGACCGCACGGAGCTAACTGCCCGGCAGGCGGCGGTGGGTCAGAGGGCCGCACCGAGCCGACTGCCCGGCAGGCGGCCGGCCGCTGGGCCCAGGCCAGCGTTAAATATAGCCGCCGTCATCACGGCACGGCGGCCGGCACTGCTTATGGCGAGCCCGCGGGGCGCCTCCCACTGGCGGTGACGGAGCGGGCGGCCCAGCCGATCCCGCCCGCGTGCGGCGGCGGCGGTGACCGCCACCGGCTCCGGCGCCCACTGAAGCCTGCGATGAGGCTGGCCCGTGACGGCAGCATGATGTATGACGTCGACCGGCTGCCCCGTCCGCGACGTGACAGCCCCGGCGCGCAGCCGCCGAGGCAGCCATCAATCAACCGTAACGTACGTCAACAAACGGACGCACACCTCTGATGTGCCACCGCTTCTTTTGATGCGCTTCTCGCGCGCCGGGCCGGAGCGAATGCGCTATTCGCGCACAAAAGTCACGCACGAGGAGGGCCCGATATCACTTAACCCACGCTCCACAGAATAGTGCGGTCGCCAGGCCTCCTCGGCGACATGTAGGGACCACGGCTTGGAAGCCGCTCGTCGCCGCCGACCAGCGGCAGGTGCCGGTGGTCGAGACCATCAGCGGCCTGGCTCGGCTCGGCCTGGCGCGGGGGCGGGGCGGGAGGAGGGGAGGGGCGCTGGGCCCGCGCCACGGCGTCACACGGGTAAACACAGCTGGCGCGCTGGCGTCACGCAGACAGCCCCCCCCCCCCCTTCGGAGGTCTGCGTCAGGTGCGGTGACTCGCCCCTCGGAGCCACTTCCCAATCTGCAGGTGTGCTCCCGGGCGAATGTGAGGCTTTGCCGGGCGCCACGTCCGCGGCCGGTGTCGGGCCCAGTCTGGGCGAAATCTGCGCCGTGGGGCTCGGCAAGCGGCCCCACTCCCTTGTTCTGGTGCGGGCTAGGGAATGCATCCTGCCCTGACAGTGACCAAAGGCCCGGTAAAATTGGTTCACACGTGCAGGTGTGTTATTTCTCACCACAAAATCCCTGTGGCCTGACAGGGACATGATCAAAGCAGGATAAAACTTGGAGCACATAAAATGAAATCGATAGTTTAGAGAGACCCGATACCAGTACCATTTATAACCATACGTTTGGGAGAGCATTCACCTTGCTTAAAACGGAGCTGTTTTCTGGGTGTGAACAGCAGGTCTCCTTGGGACAATTAATGGGTCCTACGATCGACTGGCTGCGATGCATATGAACAGTTGCAGCAATTCATTAATGACGGATAATTTGTCACTTAGTGAATGTGACGCAAGCCCATGAATTTTCTAAAAATAATGTTCTACCTAGTAAAAATCCCTGCGCTTCGCAATGGTCTGAAGGTTTTCCAATGGTCTTTTGAGAGGCTCTGGTCGACGGTTTCAAAGCTGATTTACTGGCAACCGGCCTCAACGTTGGTGGTCAAGGTCACAAGTCAACAACAAACCTCGTGACACGAGTGAATGATTGATCAAACGACCTTGCGATGCTTCCTAAAACACCGAATATTCTTGCTATACTTCCCGGACGGTCCGTCGTTCAGAATCTACTCAGTCGATGCATTCATCTTCCGGCCACATGCACGCGGTCGTTATGCCATGATAGTAATAGTGCGCGTCCGCGCCGGGCGCACATGGCACACACCAGATCATAGCGACGCCCGTAAATCAAAATAAGTATAACCAACGCAATCGACGGTGGCCGAGACGTTGGAAGTCAGGACTTTCAAGGTCATGGAAACTGAGTGAGACGCTGTTTACATGGACCGTCGTCTTTCATCCGTATGTTCTAAAGTTAAGTATTAATATCGCGGTCAGTCTAAGACCTGCCTCTGCATCAGCGCTCGTTGGCCGAGCCCTCCAGATGGCCACCACTGACATGATCTCTTGAGCACACGATCTCTTGAGATGGCCACCACTGACATGATCTCCTGAGCACACGATCTCTTGAGATGGCCACCATTGACATGATCTCCTGAGCACACGATCTCTTGAGATGGCCACCATTGACATGATCTCCTGAGCACACGATCTCTTGAGATGGCCACCACTGACATGATCTCCTGAGCACACGGGTCTGTCAGAAGTCGTCCGTCGTTGCCAGTCATCAAGAGAAGACGGGGAGCCTGCCTGACCGGCTCTCCGCCCCGCGTCCCGTTCACACCGCCGCGACTGAGCACACGCCGCTTCCATCCCGCCGGCCAACTGGCACTGCAACCCTCATTCGTCAGATCCCGCCCGTCTGCACCGGTGCACGCTCTGGACGCCGTTCAGCGACGCAGTCCAGAGTCCGCCGCGTCCCTCCGGCCCCAGCGACCGTCCGCCAGCGGTCGCTGCCTCACCTGCTTGCAGCGCTGGGCGTCCTCGCAGACGGCCTCCGCCCGACTCAGCGGCAGCTCGGCCCGCTCGTCGTCCGGCGGCGTCTTCTCGCGCAGCGTGCGCACCTGCTCCCGGATCTGGCCGATCAGCCGGTCCAGCATCTGCTGGGCGCTGCTCAGCAGCAGACCCTGCGGCGGACACGGCGGTCAGCGGCGGCGCCCGGGGGCGCGGGCGGCGGCGCAGGCCACTGCCCTGCGACGACACACTGGCGCCGGGCTGTTGTCGCCGGCCTGACAACACGACACGAGACCGGCCACATCGACCGCGTGGTGTTAAAGAGCAAGCACACCACCGTATCCATATAGCTCATTCCAGTTGCGAGTGGTAAGCATGGCCACCCGTGGGCCGGTGCCGACATGACGCCCCGTGCGCGCCCCCACCTCTGCCACCCGCGCAGCCGAGGTCACGGCCGCGCGACCACCCCCAGCCGGCACCGGCGTCTGTCTGACCTGCTGGAGCCGGAAGGCCTGGCCACTGTGGCGCATCTGCGGCGCCATGTTGCGGTGCAGCAGGTCCTGCAGCCGGCGCCACACCGCCTCCGTCCGATCCGGCGACAGCTTCATGCACGGCGCCAGGTCGTACAGCGGCGCCGGGATGTACTTCAGCGTGTGGTTGCTGCGGCACACGTGTGCACCATCGTGAGAAACGTGTGCACCATCTATCGCTACCCAACTAGCGTGTCGTTACTCTAGCAGAAACGCAATTCATGTGTGCGCAGCGCTGCACATGTCTATATCACGGAACGGCCACTAAAACAGAAAAAAACACATGCCGCTTAAGCCTAGCCTTTATCAACAATCCCGTGCCCACCAAGACTTAAGCAGTCCGCCCCGAGCGCCCATCACCACCGGGGCGGCGGTCGGGCTGGCCGGGCTCACCTCTGCAGGCCGTAGGCGATGTCGGAGAGGCCCTGCAGACTGACGCCGTTCCGGTCGAGGCTGATCTGGCGCAGCCGACAGTTGATCTGCAGCGCCTTGGAGAGCAGCCGGGCGCCCGTGTCGCCCATCAGGTTACCGCTGCCGCCGGCCGACACAGACAGAGCCGGAGTCAGCGGGCCGTGCGGCGCTCACACCGTCGGGGGACGACCGACTGCGGGCGACGCTCACCGGCCGACCGGCCGCTCACCGGCCGGTCGGCCGGGCAGCGGCCGCCCTGCTGCGTCATACACTGCAAGTCTGCCACTGGCCAAGTCGCGGTCCGGTGTCGGCACTGTGTCCCGCTGATGATCTGACCAGACCCCGTCAGCCGTGTCCTGATGATAATCTGACCGGACCCCGTCAGCCGTGTCCCACTGATGGTCTGACCGGACCCCATCAGCCGTGTCCCGCTGATGGTCTGACCAGACCCCGTCAGCCGTGTCCCGCTGATGGTCTAACCAGACCCCGTCAGCCGTGTCCTGATGATAATCTGACCGGACCCCATCAGCCGTGTCCCGCTGATGGTCTAACCAGACCCCGCCAGCCGTGTCCCGCTGATGATCTGACCGGACCCCATCAGCCGTGTCCCGCTGATGGTCTAACCAGACCCCGCCAGCCGTGTCCTGATGATGATCTGACCGGACCCCATCAGCCGTGTCCCGCTGATGGTCTAACCAGACCCCGCCAGCCGTGTCCCGCTGATGATCTGACCGGACCCCATCAGCCGTGTCCCGCTCATGGTCTGACCGGACCCCGCCAGCCGTGTCCTGATGATGATCTGACCGGACCCCGTCAGCCGTGTCCCGCTGATGGACTGACCGGACCCCGTCAGTTGTGTCCCGCTGATGGTCTGACCAGACGCCGTCAGCCGTGTCCGACCCCACCTGATGTCCAGCGTCTGCAAGCAGTTGTTGCTGCCGAGCGCGTTCAGCAGACTGTAGAGGTCGGCCTTCAGCCGCGAGTCGTTGATGTACAGCACCTCCAGCATGCAGTCCTCCTCCTGGCGGCACAGGCGGCACACGATGTCACGGGGTGGGACAGGCGGCCGGCCGGCACAGCGGGGCCCGGGCTCAGCAGCGCGCCGCCTGCATACTGTATTTGTCTCCCCGTCGTGACAGGCACAACCAGGGACACTCAAACACGCCAGCTCCACATCGGGACGGAAAGCACCCGGACCAGGGAGTCACCCATGGCCGAGGGCGAAGTGTTGTGTCTGCTGCCCACGACACACATTATGCGCACTGTTCGGCTCCGCCAAAGGCACCACCAGCACCCTCGAGCGTACCTGAATCATCTGTACCACCGCATCCACCACGTGATGTACGTGCTTGGATTTGGTGTTGGCCATGTTGCGGCCCATCTTGAGGATGCGTACCGACTTGTTGCGGCTGACAGCGGTCACAACGCCGGCCAGGTCCTGCTCCAGGCCTGGCGAGACAACGAGCCGACGACGCTCAGTCGGGCGGGAGGCGAGGAGGCCTCCCGTACCGACACGGACACGGATGAGACAACGGGCCGACGATGCTCAGTCAGGCGGGAGGCGATGAGGCCTCCCGGACCGACAAGGACACAGACGGGCCGGCGGGCCGGCGGCGCTCAGTCGGACGGGAGGCGACATGACATCGGCGGCGGAGGGAGGTCTCCCGCCGCCGCTCGGTCAGACCGGTACGGACACAGGCGACAAACGGCGAAAGCTGCGGCCGATGGAGGCGACTGTTATGTCTGGAGATGACGATGCTGGTAATGATCGGGCTGGAATATGAACATCGCTGACACACATGGCTAACGTCTGATACTATGAGCCCGCCGCGAGACATGGGATGATCATATAAGAACATAAAATTGGCTCAGATCCAGCTGGAAGGGAGCACCACCGCATCACCAACACGGTCCGCGGCACAGACGTACCGTTTTCACTGATGTCCAGCGAGGCGATGCACTTCACGCCGTGGATGCAGGACTCGAGCACGTGCGCGCCGGGCGGGCCCAGACTGTTGGCGCTCAGGTCCAGCTCCACGTCCACCGTAGACTCGTTACAGGCCAGGCCAAGCAGCAGGTTCCTGGCGCGGGAGGACAGGCGAACGTGGCGGCGGCACAGTTTGTCGCTAGCTATCGCGTAGATGAATGACACGGCACCTGACGATAAACCGAGCCCAATCATCCAACACCGATACAAAATGGTACAATAGCTAGTACGAGCATCTTCTGTACAACGGCGAGTGGCGGTCGCGACAATCACTTGGACCGCGACGTCCTGGTAATATGTACGATGCTATTGCCATGCAAGGGCTCGTGCTTGTGACTGGGCGTGTCTATGTCACACCAGGGGCGTCAGAGTCTCTCACTTGAGCGCCTCCAGAGGCATCCGGCAGCTCGAGCAGTTGAGGTATTTGAGCGCGATCGTGCTGGTGAAGAACTGCTTGAACGACGGCGGAATGTCCTTGGACTTCTTGGTGTTGAACACATTCTTGGAGACGTCCAGCCGGGCCAGGTGGGTGGTACACCCCCGCAGGAGGGCGCCGAATATCTGCCCGCAGCGGACCGCCTCACAATACACCCCCGCAGCGGATCACGTCACAATACACCCCCGCAGCGGACCGTGTCACAATACACCCCCGCAGCGGATCACGTCACAATACACCCCCGCAGCGGATCACGTCACAATACACCCCCGCAGCGGATCACGTCACAATACACCCCCGCAGCGGACCATGTCACAATACACCCCCGCAGCGGACCGTGTCACAATACACCCCCGCAGCGGATCACGTCACAATACACCCCCGCAGCGGACCGTGTCACAATACACCCCCGCAGCGGATCACGTCACAATACACCCCCGCAGCGCATCACGTCACAATACACCCCCGCAGCGGACCGTGTCACAATACACCCCCGCAGCGGATCACGTCACAATACACCCCCGCAGCGGATCACGTCACAATACACCCCCGCAGCGGATCAAGTCACAATACACCCCCGCAGCGGACCGTGTCACAATACACCCCCGCAGTGGATCACGTCAAAATACACCCCCGCAGCGGATCACGTCACAATACACCCCCGCAGCGGACCGTGTCACAATACACCCCCGCAGCGGACCGTGTCACAATACACCCCCGCAGCGGACCGTGTCACAATACACCCCCGCAGCGGATCACGTCACAATACACCCCCGCAGCGGACCGTGTCACAATACACCCCCGCAGCGGACCGTGTCACAATACACCCCCGCAGCGGACCGTGTCACAATACACCCCCGCAGCGGATCACGTCACAATACACCCCCGCAGCGGATCACGTCACAATACACCCCCGCAGCGGACCGTGTCACAATACACCCCCGCAGCGGACCGTGCCACAATACACCCCCGCAGCGGATCACGTCACAATACACCCCCGCAGCGGACCGTGTCACAATACACCCCCGCAGCGGACCGTGTCACAATACACCTCCGCAACGGACCGCGCCACAATACATGCTCGCGGCGGACCGTGTCACAATACACCCCCGCAGCGGACCATGTCACAATACATGCCAGCAGCGGACCGCGTCACAATACAAGCTCGCAGCGGACCGCGGCACAGGTGGCCGTCGCATGCCGTGAGTACTTGAGCCCGCTCGTGTCCGCAGTGCCAATTTAACACGCCATGCCAGCTGCACCCGCAGTGCGGTCCGCCAGCCTGTGAAGCCTTCCATTAGCGTGCCGAACACACAAGATTCTTGGTCGTTATGCGTGAGAACGAGGCCCAGACAATGTCCGTCGTACTGGCACATAAGCACGGCGTCATTCCTACATTCGCACGGCGCAGAGTGGGCACCCTGTACGTAGGCAAAACACCAGCTAATAGTCACACGTGACCTTGGAGGCCGACTTTGTGAGCGCTGGTGAAGTCCCAGCGCCGATCGGGGACTCAAGGGACCGCTAGGGGACCACTGTGATGCGGGCCAGGGCAGCGGCTGCGCGCCGCGGTCGACCGGGCGCTGAACACCGCGAGCTGCTGCTCGCTCCGCTCCGGCGAATAGGGGGGTCACACGCCGGTGCAGCCGGGCACAGTGGCTGCACGAAGTAGCCTGCACCCCGGCTGGTGGGGTGAAGCCAGCCGCAGCCGCGCGGCGCTAACCCAGTCCCGGCGTCGGCGGACCGGCCGGCAGCGCCGCCGCTCACTCACCGAGTCCAGCAGCAGGTCGCAGCCGCTGACGTTCAGTGACGTCACGGCGTTGGGCTGCGCCAGGAAGTTGTACAGGTTGGTCACCTCCTCCTTCATGTTGTTGCCGCTGAGGTCGAGCGCCGTCAGCGTGGTGGACATGGTGCGGTTGAGGCTGAGCGCGTGGCAGAGCTGGTTGACGCCCTTGGCCGTCAGGTTGCAGTGGGCGAAGCCGAGCCGCTTCAGGCCCTTGGAGGCCCGGCCGACGGGGCCCGTCAGGTGTGAGGCGCCTGCGGCCGGGGCGAGAGGGCGGCGCGTGAGGGCGGGCCGGCCGACCGCGCCGGCCATACGGCAACGGTGGACGACCGCACCAGGTACAAAAACGGACCGACCGCACTGCCAAAGCACCCAATTCAAGTCATGGCCAGTATGGGATATGCTCCCTTTCGGGTTCGATGTGTCACCCGTATGCAAAACAGTGACGGCGTAAAGTTTACAACTAAATAACTTCGACGGCTCACGCAACTAGGGAGTACGATAAGTAAATCAAGGAGTAACGGTCAACTTAAATAAGTAAAATGTCAACTGATGTGAGTCACCTATGACCATCACAAACCACCATCTGGGGAGCGCGTAGTGCCACCATTGTGTAGAAGAAGTTAACCAGGCAAAGACGTGATCACAAGGAAGCGCAATACTAACAAATCCTTCGCTAAATAACGTTTTGCAAGGGACTATCAATCTAACTACTATTACAATACAATGGGGACTATTGCTATCGTGACCATTGACCTCACATATCCAGAGACAACATGTTTCATGGCTCCTTCGGAAGTACTGTAGGATGAGAGACTAAAGTTATCGAAAGGGTGACGTGAACCTTTCTGTTGCTCTCCAACGAAATGTCATAGAAGCAGATACATTTCCTCTCTCTCCCCCATCAGTCAAGGGTGAAAAAGATTACGTACATACACAGAATGAAACTAACGTTCGCCGCGAATCTCTGACTAACGCAGCGAATCAACAAATATATACAATGTGTCGTAATGTAAATATAAATGTGAGCAAGAAACGTATCACGATTAGTGGCCATAACTGACAAACGCGACATGGTTTTCGAAAAGGTACAAGGAAAGTGGAAGCTACCGAAATGCCAGGCAGATACGAGGCAAATCCTATGAGCAACGGGCCCCATGGGTTGGTGGTACACTTACAGGATCATAAAATCAGCGGCTGAGATACATAGAACTTGCCGACAATGAATATACTGGTATGCCAAAGCATGAATTGGTCATATAGGCCACTAGTCAGCTAGCTTAGCAGCTAAGTGAAGTTTGCATTGACCACGTTGCAGTGATACACAAAATAAACGAAGTTATTCTCGCTTCATTCATGCTCCTCAACGGCAGCCAGGCAGGGCTGCTCCGAAACGACAATGACATCAGCGGACAGCGCTGATGCTCGTAAGTGCGCTGCCACTGATCAGTTCCTCTTTACACAAGCAACTGGCGCGGAGACACAGGCCGCCCTGAACCGGGTTATCCGCCGCGCGTTCATGGACGAGTACGAGCACCTCCGCCACCACATATGCGCTTGCACGCACTATTACGCTCCCAACGACGCACCCACCGCCAGCCTCAACGAAAAGCAACACATAGAGCGGCGTTACGGGAGGCACCCTCTCCGAAGCGGCCGAGCTGCGAGAGATGCGGGCGTTATTCAGTGGTCGGACCGGGAGGCACGTCACGGCCGCTAGACACCACGGCGGCTGGCATGCAACGGCCGGCGACATCGCACGTGTCGGGGCGCCGGCACCGCTGGGGAGTGACCGGGCGCCGGCACCGCTGGGGAGTAACCGGGCGCCGGCACCGCTGGGGAGTGACCGGGCGCCGGCACCGCTGGGGAGTAACTGGGCACCGGCACCGCTGGAGAGTAACCGGGCGCCGGCACCGCTGGGGAGTAGCCGGGCAACGGAACCGCTGGAGAGTAACCGGGCGCCGGCACCGCTGGGGGTGCTCGCCGGTACACCTGACATGCAGCACTCCCTGATTGTCGCGGATATATCCACAACAGCAGATCGGACGATAAACACAACGCTGCTTGTACAGCCCGTTTTCTGCCGCCTGGTTGCGTTCTGATGGCCTTATAAGGCTCGTCCAGCAGGAACATTCCGGATACGGCCACGAGCCGGGCGACACAAAAACAGCATTCAGCGAGCCGGTTTTTTCATGACTGCCTGGACACGCGTCCGTTCCCGCCTGAAAGGAGCCTTCGCCGACTCGGTGATAAGCGACGCCACAGCTGCCCCCATGGACTGACTACACTGCACCAAGCACCGGATCATGCAGGACTACAACAGGGAGGCGCCCAGACTCTGTACAATGACGCCACGAAGCGGGTCACACCCCCACCCGGCTGTGGGGACATGCTCGCCGACATACACCGACACAGCGTCACGACAGTTAGTGGGTGGCGTCCAAACCTGGTGGAGTCTCGGCTATCTTGGCTATGGCAGGTACAAAATGGGCTACACCTAAAAAAAGAGCAGACAGACAAGACGACAGTGAGGTACCCGGGGCGTCACGAACACTGCTCGATCGTGGTCCGCAAGACAGGGGACAGCATGGGACCCACCGCGTCTTGAACAATAGAACACAGACATCTGGATGTCGCATGTCACTGCCAAGAGCTTACATGTCAGTTCCAATATTCCAAGAGCTAACTGAGACACCAAAGAACACCGTCGGAAACATTGCGAGGTAGCACCATGCCATTAACCAGCCATAATACCTCTTGATCTCATGTCAAAAATACCACGACTTTTAGCCATCGTGTTCATAACACCATGCGGGCGCCCTCGATTTCATCCGGGAGTGATTCCGACTTCACAGGCCGCACCGACGGCCCGCTCCGGCTGCTGGTCACGACTCGCGGCATGTTCACACGGCCGGAGCGTCGGGGCCAACACAAAAGAAACAGACCGAGACGGGCTACCAGTCACCAGCATCGCCCGCTACAAAAAAGCGAAACGCCGTCACGGCTGGAAATCCCCTCACGAATGAAAATCACCCGCTCGTATCAGTTAAAAAACTTGACATGCCACAGGCATTGATATTTAAGGGTTATTCCCCATGACGTACACGTCTTCGAACATATGGCGATAACTTACCGCGGGCCACGTGCAAACCATGCATTCCGCGGCGGTGTTTCACAAAAACAGCACCGGAACCGACACGATACCACGGTCCGTGACCGCCGGCCGACCGACTGACAGCTGCCTGTTTCCTCGCGCGTATCTTACAAGAGAAGACATCACACAGGCAGGCGCACAGTTTCACCGTCGCACAACACACCGCCTTTACACAGCGCGGTTTTTTGCCGCCAATTAAGGTACTCCTGCCTGACGGCCTCCCAGCCTTCCGTTCGCCGGGCTATTCCCGACCGACGGCTGGCCACGCGGCCGAAAACCCCTCGCCATGCGCGTGGCATTCGGTACCGACGGACACTCGAACGGCCGCAGGGACTCGACAGCGCTGGGGCTCCAGCACCGCCAGCTGCCACGGGCGTCCCCCTGCGGTACCCGCCCGAGCCGGCCCCAGGGCCGAGGCCGGCCAGCGCAGCGCGGCGCGCTTACCCTTGTCCTCGACGGCGTTGTGCGACACGTCGAGCACGGTCAGCAGCGAGCTGGTGTTGGCCAGCAGCGCCATCGACAGCTTGCCAGCCAGGTCCCTGCGGGCGGAGCGCACCGACATCCTGTCTGCCTGTCTGTTGCCGTCCGATGGCGGAGACGGCTCAGAGGGCCACGCGCCGCGCCGGGCACGAGGCAGTCGGCGGACGATTTGTGATTTGTTTGATTTGTGATTTGTTGTGTGTTCGTTCTGTTTCCAGACGTAATGAAAGAGCCTTGACCATCTTAGTAGTCAATTCGTTCCAAGGAAACAATGTACTTACGTAAACGCGTAACTTAGGAGTTACCCTGCAGTCAGACCTGAGGCATAAGTTCCCACTGATTCCTTGGCCGAAAGCGTATAAAGCAATACACCATAAACTGTATGGACGTTTCTCACTACCGTTGGACCATGGGACATACACATAATAGATCAGAGCTGGCTCGGCGTGGCCACGTGCGGCCACCCGGCCGGCCGGTCGGGCGACTCACGCCTTGAGGCCGGTGTTGTCCAGGTACACCTCCTCCAGGCTGACTGACTTCTTGAGCACGTGCAGCAGCCGCTCGGCCGCCTCGTGCGAGAGCCGCAGGTGCGAGATACGCAGCTTGGTGAACCACGTGTTGTACTCGAGCGCCGAGATGATGGGCACCAGGTCCCTGCGACGACCGACCGACCGGTGACCAACGGCGGGTCCGGTCAGGGCGGCGGCATCGGCACGCGGGCCCGCACTCATCCGCGCCCCCCCCCCCCCCCCCCCCCCCCCACTCACCAACACCCCGTCACGCACAATATGATACCGCAATTTCCGGCGCTCGGAAGCGGACAATGTTGGTGCCGATCGCACGGCCAGGCCGGTGGATGGCACCCCAACGGCGGCAAGGGGAAGACGACACCTGAGGGTCGAGGGATAGCGGCGCACTGCGACTCACTTGGGGTCCAGGTGGTCAAAGTCCTGCAGGCTGAGCTCACGGGAGTCGTGTGACAGGTAGATAGTGTCCACGTCCTGCGGCGGCAAAAGGAGTTAGTTCACAGCTTGCGGGCCCGCTGATGTTGAAAGCATGGCTGTAATATTCGTTGTGGATGCTGAATGTTTAAGCGTAAAAGGATGGTTTAAGACTCAAAGGATATGACATCTGGAAAGTTCACCCAAATCGTGGATCTACGGGCACGTCAGCAATATCTCTAACCGAGAGAATAGCTACTGCACTGAAGTAATTCAGCAAACGCTGGCACTATTTCAAACGCAAAACTTCACTATTTCGCGCACTGACAAGCGAGACGCTGCCGTCCATCCGCTGATGCAAACACTACAGCAGCTGCCGGCCGGCGATGGAGCGCGGCGGCAGGGCAGCCGCAGCGGCCGCAGGCGCAGGCGCAAGCCCCCGGCCGCCGACGGCCCACGTACCCAGGCCACCTCCTCCCGGTAGGGCAGGTTGTGGTAGTCGCACATGCACGCGTACTGGGTGGAGAAGCCGCCACACGGCACCGGCTCGCGCGCCTCCACCAGGCGCGCCACCTCGTGCAGCTTTTGCACGCGGCGCGCCGGCACGACGTCCAGCTTGCGCACAATGTGACTGAGGAACGAACTTGGTCAACAGGGTCGCTGCGACGCCACCGGGATCACACTAGGTCACACACTCTAGCGCTAGCGGGGCCCCGGCACCGGTCAGCCGCCCGGGCCCCGCTGGGCGCGCCACGGCAGCGTGCGGCGCCGTCCCGGGGTCACCGCCACTGGTGTGTCCAACGATCTGACACGGCATACAGGTGTGGTCTGGTCGCCAGCAGGCCGCCCGTTCCTGGACGGACCGGACGGACCGCGCGTGCTGCCGTCTCCGCAGCAGCGCAGAGGAGACTCGTCGCTCCACGCACAGCACCAACATGGCCACTACGGACTGTTAGCCCAACCAGCTCGGGACAGGCGCAGCTAAGCACGCCGCGAGCACTCGCTGGGGTCCTTACCGAACCCCGGCCCTGACTGCGCCCTCACCTGAGTGGCACTGAAGGGAAGATGTTCTTGATGGAGACGCCCAGATTGATGATCATGGCGTCAATCTCATTGTGCCTGTCGTCCGCCGGGATGAACGTGTAACGCTTGTCATTGACCACCAGGCAGAACTGTGGCATGAAACGCTGCATTGAACCAACTCTCAATGGGTTCAAAAATGGATACTGAGAACCACGGGCGTAGTTTCACAAACTGAGTTGAGGGAGGTGGTTGAACAGTGACAAATGACTTAATCTACCAATAAATATGTGAACAATAACATTTTCCCACCTGTGGCGCACTTTCTTACATAAATTGTTCAGTGCATTAGCGAGGAACATGATTCGCATAAGACAGTAGTATTAGCCTTCTTCCTCGGAAAAACCAGGAGAATGGAGATATAATTTGGTTGGTATTTCGGCGACATGCCTTTATCAAAACAAAAGCAGAAGTCTGTTGTTTGTGTTCTGCTTTTGTTTCGATAAAGGCATGTTGTCGAAATATCAACCAAACTAAATCTCCATTCTCCCAGCTTTTCTGAGGAATAAGGCAAACACTACTGTCTTATCTATGTGGCTCACTTTCTTCACAATACTGGGGAGGGGGAGCTGGAGCCCAAGTTAAGGAGTGAGGGCTTAAAGCCCCCTCCCCCCAACTGAATAAGAAACCACATCCCTCCCTGATAGGACCATTTCTTACAAGTCAATTTCAATTGTTGGGAGCTAAAATAATGTGTTCCAAAAGCTTGCTATATCATCTTGATAACACCTAGATGATGCCATCCATGAACCATATCTACAACTAGGCTTCATTTTATAGTGCAATTCACAGCACCCTGCACCAATGACACAAATTAGGTTGCTTACACCAAATGAGGGGCACATTTGGTTATTACATACCTCTGTTGTTTGCTTGCTTTCAATTGCCTGGATGTCCAGATAGTGGAAATGGTGGTCGATCTGCAAAAAAACAAAAACATAAAGGTTGCAATCTGTACCACATTTACTTTACTAATTAAAACCCATTAGTTGCTACATTTGTGTCTCTTAAGCCTCAACAAAATGGTTTATAGAATGACAAATGAATCGAAGAAAACACAACAGAACTTAACAGATCATGACAGGATATGATATATATATATATATATATATATATATATATATATATATATATATATATATATATCAGAAAGAGTCCAGAGCCCACACTGGCAATTACATGAGACAACAGCAAACATACCCGTGAAGGAACTTTGGCGGTCATGATGAAGAGACGGCAAGCAGAGAAGGCCTGAAACAGAGCACTGTTAAACAAACAAGAAACTAGTGAGCTGACATTACATGAGTCCTTTTTTGCATGTTCCAAGCAAATCCAAAGACTCAAGTTAATGAGAGCACCATGGCACAAAGTGACCTAAGGCAAATACCAGGACATATTCTTCTATGACATAGTGTAACAAAGAGCCATTCAAACCCTTGACCAAGTCCACCATGCATTCAGTCTGGTTACTGACTAACAATGGACTCAAAGTATGACCATCTTGTGTGGGCAGCTGTATGACTGATTACTGAGATGCTAGCACATTCTTAACAAGAATATCATCAGAAACAACAAAGAGCAAAGAGTAGACTAAAACAGAAAGCACATGCAACATTTCACAACATACCAGTACTCTGTTCTCAAATTTGTCTTGCTTGGTCTCCATTCTAACCATGCATTTCATGGATATCTTCACAGCCCGTCCCAGACAGGTTCTGATGCTCTCTGCAAAAAATGTTTGTCAGTTTATCAGACTGAAATGGCTGCAAAAAAATTGTAGAGCTATTTGTATAGGTGAAGTAATCTATCAATAGTTGTTGCATGCCTGGAAAAATTAACTTTACTGTGTTTCTAAGTCAATGGAGCCATCCAATTGCTCCTGCACTGAGACAGACAAACATATAGTTCTAAGGTGGAAGATCATCACAGGTACATTTTAATACTGCATCATTATGTTAAAAGATGCCAGCTTGATTATTCTCTGATATGAACATTCCATTTTTGAGTCAATAATTTTATTAGTATAGAGCACAATAAGCTTGAAGGCTAGGTTATTTATCTCTTTCATCCTAGAATTTTTCAGTGCAAACTGAAAAACCCTACTAACAAATAGCCCATTACAGTTCAGCCTGCACAACATAAATCCACTGTGCTGGATGCCAGCAGCCAATATAACATAGGCAGGGTTGAACCTTATCCTTGCAACAGCGGAACTCAGGGCGAGACATAATGTGGTGAAGTTTTGAATCCCTTCAGTGCTAAAAACTGTTTTTGGATGGTTGGTAGCTTCCTGCCCAGTTTCTCTCTCACCATAATAACCCTTGAAATATTGTCACTCTCCATAGCTCTCTGTGCTGAAATAAGCAACAATGAAATTGCTCATGCATCAATAGCTCAAACCTCTGAAATTGGACACTGCGCCAAACTTTAATCCTGGAATAAACTGCATACTACATTATGAAGATATTTTGCACTACATACTGATATTGTCACACTACATCACTAAAATTATTTTGGCTGTGCATGTGTGATTATGTTTTTGCTGTGAAAGCTAGGCTGTACTGGACATGTTACACATGACATGTATGTTTCCAAGTCTGGGCTACCATCCTGGCTTGGACAGTTACTCAAGTTAAGACCATTCAGATCACAGGGGCATTGTCAGCATAACAGACAATGCTCCTTAAAAAACAAGTCCACAAATCAGATATCAATCACCTGAAAAAATGGAGCATACACCTACTTCCCTACCTTAGGAGCAAGTTGTAGTTGAGGTATGGCTGGTTATCAGGGATTGGGAGCAATAATAATGAAAGCATACTTACCATTAAGATCCCTTGTGAGCACACTTCGGATTGACATGATTGCTTCTCTGTAGCAATGATTCAAGGTGACTCCCGGCTAGGTCAAATGCCAAGCTTACAATGACAGGCCACTCAAGCTTCTAAATGTATCAAAAACATGCAGGATTGAGCTGGACGTTCAGGTTAAACACGTCCCCACACCTCCTTATCGATGTCAAAAAGAAACTCATTCTCCATCCAGACAAACATCCAAAGAAAATGCCCACTTCTGGTGGGAAATTCTAATCTAAACATCCATGACTCGACCGACCATCGCCGGGCTCCCTCCCTAAGCACTGCTCCCCTTCCCACTTATGAATCAACACAACGAGAACTGGGCACGGCCTTGCTCGTCGGCACCACTCATTGACTGCCATACGCCGCCATCGACACCAAGCCCCGAAAATTACATTTTTATCATGTGTTGAGGAGGACTGTGCAAAAAATAATCAGGTTTTCAACATATTGAAACATTAAAGTAACGATAAGTCATGAACATATTAGTTTTTACGCATTATGGTTATAGCAACTGAAAACATGCGAGTAACAACCACAAAAGTGTTTCTCAACGTGTGTTCTATTTAGATCAAAATATTGTTTTAATTAATGTAGTGGAACCATGAAAAAGCCCTTAACTATCCACGGCTTGATTAAGCTAATTTGAGCGTTCTTGAAAGGAGGCGTCTGAAAGCAAATGCGAATGATGAACGCCAGCAACCAAATCACAAAACACCACAGTTAGGTTAACTAGACATGAAACTACGTAGGTTGTTAAGGGCACGCGCGAGGAACATTATTCGCATAAACAAGACAGTACTACAAGCAGTATTCCTCGAAGAAAACCAGGAGAATGGAGGCATAAATACGTTGATATTTCGGCAACACGCCCTTATTAAAACAATAGCAGAAGTCAAGACTTCCGACTTTAGTTAGTGAAGGCTTTATGTTGATCGGTCATATAATCTCAGAGCATGACTTTGACTGCAGCCAATTTTGGTGGCTTTGGGCGTTTTCGGTAACCTTTGACCTGACTACAGGTCACCATGTTCTGGAAAGTATGGAATATTGACTTTGAAGACTTTACACTATGACGCATCGATTAGCAACGCTTTATCCCGATCGGTCCCATGCCCTCGGAGCTCGCGTTGTCTGCAGCCAGTCTTGGTAATTTGGGGTGTTTCTGGTGACTTTTGACCTAACTGAAGGACAAATGTTCTAGACAGGATAGTATATCGATTGTGGCACATCTATTAGTCAAGGTTTCATGCTGACTGGTCCAACAGTCTGTGTGCATCGGGTTGTCTGCAGCTAGTCTGGGTGACATGGGGCGTGTTTAGTGACCTTTAACTCGGCCCTAAAGTCACCATATTCTGGAAAATGCAAGATATTGACTACGGCGCATTGATTGGACAACGTTTTATGCTGATCCGCACTATGGGCTCGGAGCATGGGATTGTCTGCAAGCCTTTTTCGGTTTTCTGTATTTTGGTGACCTTTAATCTAACCTAAGGTCACCATGTTCTGAAAGGATGGGTGCCATAGGCTTGGAGCGTGGGGATATCAGCAGGTTTCGTCGGCCGTGAAGTCCCTGCCGACAAGGCCGTATTTTTGCCTCTCAGCATACGCGCTGATTTGCCAAACGTGCCCGGCCAAAGCCCGGATGATTGTGCATGAGTTGTGCGGGAGCGACGTACGCCCGGCTTTGGTGCTCACGACGGTTGCGGCTCAGATTGTTCAACGGCGTTGTACCTGCATGTTGTAGTTATGTGCTATGAATTAAGACTTGGTTCTTACCTCTCTAGCAGAAATCGTTGTACCAAGCGGCATGCTCAGGTGTTGGGGGTGGAAGAAGTTCGGTTTTTCAGGTGGTGGAAATTGTTTTCAGATTATAGGCCCCCATAGGTGACGTTATACATCGAGGGCAGTGGGAGCAAAGTTCATAGGCATAACCAAATGTAACATTGATGTTCCAATAGTACAGCTTTTGGCTGAAGTCTGGCTTCAAATCATGCCAGAAACTTTTTTTAAATTTTTTTTATCTTTACTGGAGAGACATTGACCACACCAAAAAGTGCATGTTTCACTGACTGCAAAAATACCTAGTTTCACTAAAGACATGTGTTGTGTACAGCAACATGCAAGGATAGTTTCTGGGCTATGAAAGTATAGTGGCTTACATGCCCTTGTTGGCCACCAGATGTACAAGGTTTGATTCCCCTTTCTTACTATGCCTGCCCTCCATGCCAGAGTGAGAGATAGGAGATGTCATGTGGTCTCATGAACAGGGTGTGTTGTAAAGCCTGAGTGATGACAACAAGCATAGCAGGGCATGTTTGTCAGATATCGTGGGATTGCAGAGTTTTATAGAGGTCCATTCATTTTAGGCCATGGATAGCCAAGTAATATTGCTAGTCCAAAGATGATTTTAAGCAAATATGCTCTAGCAATGCTATTACTGTCAATAAAATATGCAAAATCAGCATAATTTGGCCTGATGTGAGTTGGGAGCATAGCACTCAGCACACTGATGTCCAGCAGGCATCCAGTACAGTCAGTGGAGTTTTGCACAATGGGAAAGCAGTTTTGCCCAGTGTAACCAAAAGAATACTTAAAGAATAATCTGAAATGCATGGAAATTGATGGGCACCTTTAAGGTATCAAGGCATATCTTATGGCATTATCTGTAATTTTTATATTATCTCACCTAGTGAATACTTTTGTTACCTTCATCAGAGAACTTGTGTAGCCTCATACTCATCTCATGGTGTTACATGGGCAAGATAAGTGTGGGGGTGGGCTGAGCTGAGAAAAGGCTAAACCTATCTCCAAATTACACTAAAAATTAAAATATCTCCAACTCTGGCCTCTTCTTTCACAGAGTAAGGTGAGCTAGAGCCTCCATAACTGAATGGGAAAACCCACACATCAGCTCATACTTTATGGCAATGAATGCCCTGAAACAGTTATCTCAACCTGACATCCTGGATCAAGTTCAACATTTTTTTTGCAAACATTTGATACAGTAGCAATATTATTTCTTCCAGCTATTATATAACAGGCTGTTAAGTGTCCTACATTAAGGTGTAGTCCACATTACCAAGCTGAAAGGATGCTAATGGGGGGTCTAATGGAAAGGATGCTGATGCTAAATGTCAGCATTATTTCATTTTGTGCATGTGAAGGACATTCACAATACATAAAATAACTTATAGCATGGAATGCATTTTAATAAGAGGGGGTTTTAGCATGTAAGGGATGCCTGGAAAGTAATGTAGTTGGATGAGTGATATGTGCAGTTCGGTGGCACATGGCATGCATTTAATCACAATATAAGCTATATAGGTGAAGTTGTCTGCCATTTATATCAGTTAGTACTCTTGTCTGAAAATCAGTTATATGTGCTTACTATCAGGATCATGGAGCTTCATCTTACATGTAATCCACATTTCAGTGGCATGCAGGCAGTAGTATGAGAAAGCTGCCGTCAAAAAGTCTTGGAGATACACTGCACAGGGCAGGTGTTTACACTTGCATGGGAGTGACTGGGGTAAGAGTTGGTACATTACTTGATTCCAGTTGAAGCTTGTGGTGAATATGCTGCTCCTGCCACCTGGGTTTAAGCTCATGCAGTGTATGATGTGAGCTGAAACCATTCTGGTCCCCACATTGGCAGCTAATGATGGTGCTAGATAGACTGATTTGCTTACTCTAGATAGATTGATAATGAGAGAACATGGAATCTGAGGACTTGACAGCTCAGTAAGCCTCATGGTATTGTTCACATTTCTGCTGAGGCTGAATCTTTGTTATGTTAGCTCATATTTGGTATTATATGCCATGAGAAAGATTATCACCTGTGAAGCACAAAGTCATGAATGTGTTGTTGGCTGCCCAGGATATATGAGCCCCACCAGGCTGTCACTTGTCCTGTTTGGCCATCCATAAGCAACAGCTGTCAGCCACCAGCTGTACCTGAGGCCTCCATGACTGTGACCATCTGTGGCAGGTGTGCCTGGTATACTGCGGCTGGCACGCCTACACGTTCCTCACCAAGGTCAAGCCTCAGCGAGAGCGCCAGCTGCTGGAGAAGAAGCGTCAGCTGCTGGACGAGGGCGCCGCGCCGGAGCACGAGCTGAAGGAGGGCGTGCCGCGCGTACAGTACTAGACATGCAGCTGCTGCTGGGTGGCAGCTGCCGGCAGCTGGTCATGGCCACCGCCGCCTCGCTTTGCCGACGCGCGCACGGACAAGCCGTGAGTAGCGCCAGCTTTGCTGGCCAAGACGCGCAGCACGCGCCATTGCTTGGTGTGCCGGTGCGTGTTGTCCTGAGCGCTGACGTGCAATGGCTGCCGACCGCAGTGCACAGTGCTTCAGATATGGCTGAGGAGTGAAGACTGGCACATGGGGAGCTTGCATCTGCGGTACGCAGATATGTGACACTGATGTGACGAGACGTGGGGGGCTTGCATCTGCAGTATGCAGGGATGTGACACTGATGTGACGAGAGGTGGGGAACTTACATCTGCAGTATGGAGGGATGTTACACTGATGTGACAAGACATGGGGAGCTTGCATCTGCAGTATGCAGGGATGTGACACTGATGTGGCGAGACGTGGGGAGCTCGCATCTGCAGTATAGAGGGAGTGACACTGATGTGACGAGACGTAGGGAACTTACATCTGCAGTATGGAGGGATGTGACACCGATGTGACGAGACGTGGGGAGCTTACATCTGCAGTATAGAGGGAGTGACACTGATGTGACGAGATGTGGGGAGCTTGCATCTGCAGTATGGAGGGATGTGACACTGATGTGACGAGACATGGGGAACTTACATCTGCAGTGTGGAGAGATGTGACACTGATGTGACGAGACGTGGGGAGCTTACATCTGCAGTATAGAGGGAGTGACACTGATGTGACGAGATGTGGGGAGCTTACATCTGCAGTATGGAGGAATGTGACACTGATGTGACGAGACGTGGGGAACTTATATCTGCAGTATGGAGGGATGTGACACTGATGTCACGAGACATGGGGAGCTTGCATCTGCAGTATGCAAGGATGTGACACTGATGTGACGAGACGCGGGGAGCTTGCATCTGCAGTATGGAGGGATGTGACACTGATGTGACGAGACGCGGGGAGCTTGCATCTGCAGTATGGAGGGATGTGACACTGATGTCACGAGACATGGGGAGCTTGCATCTGCAGTATGCAAGGATGTGGCACGGATGTGACGAGACGCGGGGAGCTTGCATCTGAAGTATGCAGGGATGTGGCACTGGCGTGACGAGCTAA